GATGTCAGTGCTAGCAGCTGTGCGAGTGATGCAGAAGCTTGCAAATGTTGTGTAGATGGAGGCTAACTAAACCACACTTGATAATGCAATTCTCGTCATTCCAGGAGGCGTTATTGAAGGTGAATCGGTCTGACATCTGCTTTATGACCTACCACGTATTTTTTCTATAGAACCATACTCCTAATTAAACGAACAAAGTTGTGGGCTACTAACGGTTACAGCCGTCTCCGGCTCTTTGCATTTTTGTTCTCACCGCTTCGCCCAAACATTCCCGACGGGACGACAAAATAACGAACTTGCACAGTGGCACATTTGGCCATGCTACGTAATGAGGGCTTGAACGACAAAGGTGGGTCAACGATCGTCTAAAGACAACTGGACACATCGTTTGCCTAAATTTGTTATTATGTTATTATTAACGCAAAGATTATTCTTCCGAACATCAAGCTAAGTAATGGAGGCCGTGAAGATTAAAAATTTGAGCTTTAATCATGAGCTGCAATTATCGAATACTTATAGGCGACACCAATCATCTCACGCTCCAACAACGATTTGCCAATGTGATCACATGCTCCACACCACACAACAGCCCACTGACCGCTGGTTCCTCCGTGGGAATTTCTCTTATATTAACGTACTGGATGAAAGGTCACAAGAACCCGCCAAGCGACGGTAGCAAATTGGTTAAGTTTTATCAAAATAGTTACACGGGCGCGATACAGTGTAAAACCCCACCTATAATGCACCTGAGCGGCAATCATTGTGAAAATCAGGATTTGTAAATGATTCTTGAAATGACGGAGACCAAAGGCTCATACATCGAATTTCACAGTCTAGTCAATCGCAACACATTCCACATAATACATCTACCAAACAGACCCTTGTATCTCGGAGACCTATGTAAATAACGTTTTTCATTGCAGCTACGACAATACACAAGCAGGGACCGTGCGTATCGTGAACCACCAACAGCATATCCTGCGCGTTATTCACTTTCAAAACATGGTTCTGGTTGATTAGTGCAATTATAGCATCGTGAGCCAAGTGTCGCGGAGAACAGTTTTCATCCAATACTTGCTCGCTCAAGTTATGCTATTACTTTTTCCCTAAAAAATGAAAGTGATCCATCGTTGCAGAGTAATTAATTATTCGAAGGGTGTTTGCAGCATGCGGACCGGGTTCAGTAAATTATGGTGCAATCTTTACGGTCAAACCAAGTTTTCTTGAGGGAAAGTTAAGCTAACAGTTTGAACAAAAGAGTGACGCTGTTCATCGTGACGAAAAGAGACCAACCAGCACTCTCCGCTACGACCACGACTACCAATCATATGAACCCACTACTGAATGTTGAGTTAAAATACTGACTTGTCCATTACTCTCTGACTGATAATAAAACACCTTACAGAAACGCAATAATGTTAGTCATATTGCAAGAACAATTTAATTAAAGTACCATATGTAGTGTGTGCAGATATAGAGTTACGGGCGTTCCTCGAGGTCAGGCTTTCAAAGACCCAGCATTGTAATAAGCCGATGGAGAAGTGGATCCGGGGGCTAAAACCTCGGCTCATCATGACCTATGAACAATATCAGGAGTTTGTTTAAAATTATTCACGCTTCAGATTCTTATGTAAGAATATGAGCATCCTTGTGTTGAAACGCGACAGTATCACAGTGGTGTATTTTTTACAGGGGAATGAAAACATCGTCGAAATCAACCCAGCAAAAAGTTGACGAACACGCGCTCATCGTGGACCCCATTTGATATTTGTTAGACCATGGAATTGGCGCTTCAACTGGCCAGGTTCAGCCCATGCGGAATCCAGGTAGGCATCTTCATCGTTGGATTCCAATTTCTTCCATTCTTCCTGTTTCTTATAGTAGTAAGACATCATAGCTTTCTGTTGTTCTTCGTCAATGATGGGCTCACGGGCAGGAGCACCTGCACCACGTTTCGATAACTTTGCTACGATTTTCGTCTTTTCATTTTTCCCAACGTAGTCAGATAATAATTTTCCTCGAAGCATTTCCTTGCCAGAAAACCAGAGCGTCGCCTCTTCAAACGGTACGACCTCTTGGGCAGCCTAAAAGAAGAATCAAAGATGAACCTATAGTTCGACTACTAACTAACGCAAAAGTAGTCCGGATATAGAACGAAAAGAAATGAGACCATTCAAAATGCGATGCAAACGAGGCCTCGTTGTCTTTCATGTAGTTGGTCCAACATTACTGATAGTGTCGGATAGGAAGGGCCGATGCACGAAAAAAGACCAATTTTAAGGGATTTTCGTTTCTACAAAGCCGAAAGACTGACTAATTCGACTTCGAAATCACTCGTTTCAGTTTCGATCCTATCGTGTAAACATTTATGAGGATTCTCCTGTAACCTTCCTGTCCGACTTTCAACCAACGAATAGGTCGTTACTGAATTACGTCAGAATTCGTAGATGTAAACGTTTAGTGACATTCTTCACGTTTCAAGTTTTATGAATTTGTATGTTTTGTTCGGTGTAACGACCAGTGTATATATTTAACTGAAATGTAAGCATATACACAAGTTATACAAATACAGAACGTGCTCACCATCAAACACAAGGACAATGATGTCCGGAAATTGACATCCGTTATCCTACTAGTTAATCGGAGATATTTATGACTATGTAACCAACAGGTTAATGTGATTAAAAACTACTGCAGTCATATCCAGTATACAATCTGCGAACCGAAAGGCCACTATGTGGATTCAGTCTACGTTTCCAAATATCGCTCTTTTATCCAACTTGGGCATAAGTGAACATGAATTACTACAACGGAGGTGTAGAATTTCATTATGCTTGAGGTCTGCCTGTGTGAGTGCGAATTTCATCGTTAGTTGAGTCGACCAATTTGCATTGATCATGAGGCCCAATAAGGTCAAAATAAATGTACAGAGCTTCACAGTTTTGCAGTACACGATTCTTTTGTTCTGCAGGTGCCAAAATCCAACATGAATAATGAGAATCATCTATACCTCAACGAGGCATCGTGAGGAATGCATTACACAGATAGCGCGGATTTATACACACACACACACAGAGGGAGAGAGAGAGAGAGGTATCGAATATATGACAAATTTCTTTCCTCGACAGAACTGAATGATCTAAAAATCACCTACGAAACTGTCTGGATCAAGAGTTGCGCTCTCAATATCAAGACTCAATGTAGTTAGAATGTCTAAGAGAAGGTTCACATCAAAATTAGTATCTGTAGCGCTGCAATGAACCAACAAGGTCGTCTGAATTGTTATGAATTATTCTCCACACAATTTGTTCAACGTGATGCAAAAAGTAATGCATCGCACCACAGCTTCGTAGAGACGGAATGGAGCGCTGCACTAAGGAGTTTTGGGACCTATAAATGAAAAGCTGATCAAAAGTGTTAAACAAGAGTAAAACAGGAATGTTGCAATAAAGTAAGGAGTTATAAAATTCACGTTATTGAAAATGGGTGCATACTCATTAAAATGATCCAGAACTTTAGTGGGGAAGATGATCATTTTGAAAAGCTCCATGTGATAGTAAGCCGTCTCGCTTCTTGGACCAGATTAGTTAGATCACTGGGTGTAGTGGGCGATGAAATTTCCAATGGTGTTAGCATTGAAGACATATCCAAACAGCCTCAGAAGGTTCTAAGTGGAATGATATAGAGTTTGCAAATATTTGATCAAACGAGTTCACTTTGAACTTTCCTTAAATTAAGACATCCGAGTAACAATTGGGATAACTTAGTTGAACATTAACACGCCTTGTCTAGGCTTTTCTTCGTCGCTATATTCTTGCTACCCATTTGGGCAGTCAATGAGAAAAGAGTAGAAAGAAGAAGTCAAAAGCGGAGAGCGGTATCGAAATAGATATACGGAATACGGATAAACCATATCTACGTGAAAAGTCAGTAGATTCACGGTCGTCACTATCTAAGACATAGCACCCAGTGTTTCTAACCGTTGATTAGGTTGCTCACGAGATATCCATATAGGAAACATAAAGTGACCTGCGGGACCAAGTTTTTATATCAAAGTTTTCCTTCTCTTGTGATAGATCATGGTCTGAACTCGATGCCAGCCGAGGAAGCCAAACCAGCAATACCCCCCGGCTACCGTAATTTATGGGAGTCGAGCACTTGCATCAGGGGAAGAATGAAGTCACCTACACCTAGGTGTCTAAATTCCGCATTGCTAGCGCGCTGTCCTCGCTACACTTGAGAATTGCAAATAGCTGCTCCAACACCAATAGTCTGTGTCAACCTTCCTTCTGTAATTTAGTTGCGTAACAAGTCTAGTGGATAATAATAATAATGATCAGTGTTTGGGAAGTGATTGCGCATAAACTGGTGGTCAGAAATTTTTCAAATGTTTAGCTGCATTGGCTGAAATCCAGGGCTGAAAGTGTGCAGATAAGACAGAAACACAAACTGAGGGGAAAATAAATAAGACAACTGATTGCAATCCTAAATGCGAAGCAACGCCAGAGAAAATAATTCAGGAAATCCGGTCCGGTTATGCGGGTGTGCGCAGACAAAAAGGAGGGATCAAGGAATAGATGAACTTGTGAGAAAATGATGTGCGTTTACTAGCAATAAAATCCCGACAAACTAGTCACGATAAACATCATTGTTTCTTTTATCTTTCTTTGTATTTGTAATTTATTTTGATGAGTTGCTATTATGTTTGTTCTCAAGCCGAGTACATTAAATTAGTCCTTCTGATTAAACAATGGCATTTATCAGGATCAACGAGTTATTTAGGGTAACCCCTCCTGAAATCAAAATCCATTTAAAAGGAGCGATGTTCTCCTCTTTAAAATAATTAGAGCTTACCGTTGTCGGTTTCCATCAGTAAATATCAGGTTCTCTTAACTATCGACTACTTTGCATGATATTCAATACATTAGGATAAACAATACATGTCTGACCTACGTCAAACCCAAGTGACTTTTGCCTGAAAATGAAAATACCCATGCTAAACAACGAGCACAGAAAATATACGGTGCGCGCCGAAGTGATGGGGACAGTTACATTTTTGGATCTATCTCGAACAACGAGAACACCGTACTAACTACCCTTTGTAGAATGATTACTGAAGCCTAAACCAAGCAGCAACAAATACGACTACATCCAAACATGTGACAAAAATAGGGGCGCAATGTACTAA